CTGACAGTTCTGTTTGCTTCACATCCTCCCAACAATGGTATTATCAGACTTTGCAGGGAGGTTCCAGTTGTTTCCTTCACACCTCTGTTGGTGGTGATCATGCCATGTGCCACTGCCCTTTGGAAACAGCGAGTCCACGATTTCTCTTGCCAATGAACTCCGGGTGCTTAGTATGGTGGAGCTTGTTATTAGCGAGGCTGGGTTTTCTCTGGGCACAGTCCTTTACCAGGGCTCACAGTTTCCTTACCGCTGGATGAAATGCCCCATCAGATTGGGAAATTACCATATCTGCACACGGGCTCTCTGATCAGTTACTTACATGCAAACATTATTTTTTCCCCGACCAGTGAATGCATTAAACCATTTGCATTGTATTGGCAAGCTGCTCTCCAGACAGGGTACTGTTCTCTGCTCCTGCTCAATCGGGAACTTGTCTTGGCCACAGAGGAAACAGGCAGTCTTCCCAGTTTTTGGTAGTCTGATACTGGAATTGGTATCTTGTGCTTATTTATATTTCTCTGACTATTAGTTAGGCGATGGTCTAACCAACTGAGCTGCCCAGCCAGGGGAAACATCTTTTTTTCTCTATAGAGTATACTCATTTCTAGTATTTCTTCTTTCGTGAATTGCTTGTTCATTTCTTTGACTCAGTTTTCTGTTGGGAAACTTTTTGTTGATTAATTTATAATAGCTCTGGTAAGATTTTCACTTACCATACAATTCGCCCTTTTACAGTATACAGTTCAGTGGATTTTAGTATATTCACAGAGTTGTGCAACCATCACCATATCTAATTTCAGAACATTTTCATTATCCCCAAAAGAAACCGACCACCCATTAGCAGTCACTCATTTGCCTGTCTCTACCAGCCCTAGACAACCACTTTCGATCTTTATGGATTTGCCTATTCTCGACATTTCATATAAATGGAATCATGCAGCTTGTCTTTTGTGACTGGTTTCTTTCACTTAGCCTAATATTTTCAAAGGTCATTCATGTTGTAGCATATATGAGCACTTTTTTATTGTCAAATAATATTCCATTGTATGGACATACCATATTTTATTCATTCACCAGTTGATGGAAATTTGGGTTGTTTCCACCTTTCAACTATTATGAATAATGATACTATGAAGCTGGCTGGTGTGGCCCAGTGGTTGAGCATCAACCTATGTACCAAGAGGTCGCTAGTTTGATTCCTAGTCAGGGCACATGCCCAGGTTGTGGGCCTGATCCCCAGTGGGGGCCATGTAGGAGGTGGCCAGTCGATGTTCTCTCTCATCGATGTTTCTACCTCTCTCTCTAAAATCAATAAAGAAAATTTATTGTAAAAAAATGCTACTATGACCATTTGTCTACAAGCTTTTGTGTGGATATACCTTCATTGTTGATTAATTTTTAAGAGCCTTTTGAATAGCCCTGGCCAGTTTGCTCAGTGGTTAGAGCGTTGACCCTCAGACCAAAGAGTCATGGGTTTGATTCTGGTCAAGGGCACATACCTCGGTTTCGGTTTGGTCCCAGCCCTGTCAGGGTTGTGCAGGAGGCAGCCAAGTGCTGTCCCTGTGTGTCTGTCTCTCTCTCTGTCTCTGTCTCTGCCTCTCTCAGGCTGCCGGCCTTAGGACCAGGAACCCAGCAGCACTGGGGGTGGTTTCTAAGTTTCTCTCTCGGAAGCTAAGCTCAATCTTCAAAGTGGCTGGCTGAGAAACCGCCAGGGCTGCAAGTCATCCACGAGAAGGCTTTCAGCAGCTTTGCTGATTCATCCTTGCTGCTGGTGGAGGGAATTTGAGGGCCAAGAGGTTGGCAGCACTGTTTCTTCAAGGGTGAGCTGGGGCTCAAGCCTCTCCTCCCAGGCTGCTCAAGCTGCCTTCTAGAGCAGCAGCCGGCTGAGTTGGAGAACCAGTGGAGACCGAGACATTGTTCTTGACCACTCTTTATCCGGCCTAATGGAAGTTTTTGAGATTCCCCCAAAATATTTCTCTAAAATATTCTCTTACTCGTTTTGCTTTCCCCAGTCAAGTTTTACAAAGTACTAACTTTGGTTCAATTCTGCTTGGAATAGTAACTATACAAGTTGATGTTCTTTTATGTGGTTTATATATATTTATATATAGCTCATAGTTGATGTTCATGTCCCAATATAGTTCATGATCATACTTGGAGATCTTAAGATTTTCAACATAGGGAAAGTTTTAAATGACAAAACAATGTGCTAAATGCTAGGTGAATAGCTCATTTTTTACCGTCAGTCACACAGTATCGGTTATGCTTCAAGGCATGCATTTGTAATCTGGCAGTCTTATTGATTACACCATGCACTCACCATTTGTTAACTCTTAACACTAGCAGGGCCCCTAGCAGTCACTAATCCTCATGAGGAAACAAACCCAGAAAAAGTCCCTTGAAAAAGTCCAAACGCACCCATCTCTAAGCGAGGGGTGTTCAACCAGTCTTTTCTTTTGGCTTGGATTGTTCATCTCAACTAGACTCATGCGGCAACTACCTCTTCTCTCTTGGGCTCCTTCAGAATCACCGTTCTTGGTAGAAAGCAGGTGGCTGGGCAGCAGGTCCAGAGCACCTACCTCTGCCTTGTGCTCTGGTTACTGAGTGGAGTCCGCATTGCAGTTTGCAGGGCCTTTTCCTGGTCTGTTTTCAGGCTGAAGCTTCATCTGTGATGGGTGCCTGGATGACCGATACGATTTTTACATCCATTTTTAGAAGATAGGGCGAGGATCAGAGCATTAGGTTCCCCCTCTCTTCACTAACTAATTCGTATTGCTGGCACGGGTAAACGTGTAATAATGGTGGTGGGCAACAGCAACTTTATGACGTGGAGACTTTTATTACCATCCCCATTTTACAGAAAGGAAACGGAGGTGCCGAGATTTAAGAAATCTTGCCCAAGGTACTTAACTGGCTTGGCTCCATTCCCAGACAGGAGTTTTAACTGGGCCCAGGGTGTCAGTGAGCTCCCTGAAGTCACCTGCAGAGGTGCCGTGTGACTCTCCCTGGGGAGGTCTTCAGCTTCACCCCAGTGTCGGAGGGTTCATCTCTGAAAAAAGCTACCAGCTGATCGTCTAGGGGATTTTCAGTTTTGTCCCCTTAAGGAATTTTTGCTCATAAAGTTTTCCCAAGTGACACATCTTTGTGGAAATTACCATAATTTTCCATTTCCCTTATGAGCTTTTCTTCCCCCCCTGTTGAGAAGTTTTTAGTCACCAAGTCTTGTGGAAAATGTCTTAAAGTTTTTATGGTAAATAGAAACAAAGGAGTTCTGACTCTGTGGACATTTTCTTCCTTTCTTTTCTCAGTTTTAATTTTTTAATAGATAATATTTACAAATGGGACTACCAGAAAGAGAAAGGATATACAATGAAAAGTGTAAGTCCTTCCCCCTTCCCCTCCTTGAAGGGGGTCCCCCTTACCAATATCTTGTACATCCCTCCAGATAATGGATGTCTTCTCTTCTTCTCTTCTCTTCTCTTCTCTTCTCTTCTCTTCTCTTCTCTTCTCTTCTCTTCTCTTCTCTTCTCTTCTCTTCTCATTGAGTTTTAGAGAAGAAGGAAGAGGGAGAGAGATAGAAACATTGATGAGAGAGAACATTGATTAGCCGCCTCCTGCATGCCCCCCACTGGGGACTGGGCCCACAACCTGGGCATGTGCCCTGACCAGGAATCGAACCACCAACCTCTTGGTGCAGGGGTCGACACTCGACCACTGAGCCACTCCAGCTGCGCAAGGATGTTTTCTTTTAAATATGAGTAAGAGGTAGGAATTCCAGCCTGGGTTTATGGTTTTGGACAAGCAGCATAGTCCAGCTTTCCTTAGGAAGGGTCAGGTACTAAGTATTAAGGGACTTTGAGGCACTTGAAACCTTCAGAGGACACAATAATATTTCGTGGGAGGGCCACTTGAACAGGCTGCTCAGAAAGATCCCTGTGTGTTAGATTCTGGGCACCAGCTAAATCCTCCCAATGCCAGCTAGTGGTGACATTGTCCCATTTTTCACTCCCGAGGGTCCAGCGCTGTGGGACTTCCTAACTAGTTTGTCTGCTTCTGAGCTCCCCTGTTCAGTCAGTTCTCCATACTCATGCAGCCAGAGTGACCTTCAGAAATGTGAGCCTAACCATGGCCCCCTCTTGCTTAGCCCCGCCACCCCTACCCCCACATGGCTCCGCCTGCTGAGGATGAACGTGTGGCCTGCTGGGCTGGGTCCTGGTGCCTGGCTCCTGCTGCATTCCTTTCTCATCAGAGGGAGCGGGAGAGTCTGGGCCTTTTGCCCTGGTGGAAGTCCTTGAGGGTGGGCGCTCAGACAGGCCTGGCCTGACTCCCAGTGGAGCTGCCGGCCCCAGCAGGGCCCTGCTTTGCGCTTGACTTCGAAGTACATATTTGATATACTACCCCTCAGCCCATCACATACAAAGATTAGATCCCCGGATTTGTTCATGTTTAACTCGAGTGTAGTCGGCCCTTGTTTATCGCAGTCAATCAGTTCCAGACTCTACCGCGATGAATGAATTTCCGCGAAGTAGGATTATTTATGTCCCTCGCCACTTCGCCCTTCAACTTTCCCAGCTTCACTCTACCGGTTTTTCAAACACTGGATCGTGGAAGCGCGAAGTGGCGAGGGACGGCTGTGGGCAGTTCTTCCAGGGCTTTGTGCCCCACGTCGCACAGCAGCAAAGGCCTAACAGCAGAAGTGTGAAGCCCGATGGGAACAAAGTCCATGCGCTTTTGTGTTACGTTGCATCAGGCTGGCGACTCCTTTGGTTTCCAGCCTCTGCCTTCCCCGGGCTTTGACCCACTGCCTTGTGGGAGAGGCGCTTCGCTGGTAAAGGGAGCTCACTTGGGATAACCTGCTTTGTCCTGTTTTCATTCATTCATTTTTTTCCCTTTTTGTTTAACTGTGTCTCCGTCACTGACTTGTGTTAGAGAAGTAATATTTCTATTTTTCCAGTATTTGTGCAATACTTCCTGTTATTGACCTTCTTTAATCCTCACAGGTGGTTTTCCTGTTTAATGGGTGAGCAATCTGGAACTCAGAGAAGCTTGCCTGAGGCACCCTGGTAAGACTGGAGTCAGGATTCAAATGCATGTTCTTTACATCCGAGCAGTTGGTCTTGTCCCCTCCTTAACCACACTCACTCCTGTGGAGATGCCGGTCCACCCCGTGGCTTCCATCCCCATCTCTGCTGCACTCCTCTCGGCTGTAATTGGCCAAAACAGAACTCTTGCTTCCCCCCACTAAATCTCTGCCCCCACCATCATTCTTCACTTCAGGAAAGATAAATGGCACCACCACGCGGCCAGTTTTTAAGGCGAAAGATTTTAGTGTCATCCTTGGCTCCCTTCTTGTTTGCGAAGCCCATGTACTTGATCCGTTAGGGATGCTGGCTCTGCCAGAACACACCCCTCGGCTGATGCCCTTCCTGCTCCCACCTTGGTGGAGGCCACTCCATCTCTCCCTTCTCTGCTGGTGCTCCTGGGCCCACTCTTGCCCCCTTGCGGTCACTCCCACGCTCTGCTCTCGGCTCTCCTCGGGCGTCCCAGTGCACTTGGAGGAAAGTTCAGAGCCGAACTTGCCTGTGACACCCCAGTGATCTCAGCACTGCTGCTGCCCACTTCAGCCGCCCTGTCTCCCCTCTAGGGGCACGCTGGCCCCTTCGCCAATGTCATGCCTGTCTCGGGGCCTTTGCATTTGCTCTTCCTGTGTCTGTAATGGGCCCTGGGCTTACAGTGGCATGGCTCACTCTTGCATTCATTCAGGTCTTTGCTTACATGTCACCTCAGACACGTCCTCCTGGGCCCTTCTCCTAAATATTTTTCCCCACATTTTTATTTTTCAATTACAATTTACTTTCAATATGATTTTGTTTTTTTTTTTGTTTGTTTGTTTTTTTTTTTATCCTCACCCGAGGACACTTTCATTCTCTGTTCAGATAGAGCAGGAGGCAGAGAGAGAGAGAGAGAGAAACATCGATGTGAAAGGGACACATCGAGTGGCTGCCACCCGCACGACCAACCAGGGCCGGGGACAAACTGCAACCGAGGTACATGCCCTTAGCGGGAACCGAACCCGGGCCTCTCCGGACCGCAGGCCAATGCTCTAACCGCTGAGCCAAACCGGCCAGGGCTCAATATGATTTTGTATTGGTGGCAGGTGTCTTTTCTTTTCTTTTCTTTTTTTATTCTTATAATTTTTTTTTTTTATCCTCACCGAGGACATTTTTCCATTTTTTATTCAGACAGAGCAGGAGGGAGAGAGAGGAAGAGAGAGAGAGAAACATCGACATGAAAGGGACACATCGACTGGCTGCCACCCACATATCCCAACCAGGGCCGGGGACAAACTGCAACCGAAGTACGTGCCCTTAGTGGGAACCGAACCCAGGTCTCTCTGGACCTCAGGCAGACGCTCTAACCGCTGAGCCAAACCGGCCAGGGCTCTTTTCTTAAATATTAAATAGCCTCTGCCTCTCGGTCTCCCGGCTTACGTTAGTTTTCTTCACAGAGCTTACTGCATGACGTTACATATTCTGTTGATTTATTACCTGTCTTCTCCACTAGGCTCAAAGCTCTAATTTAGCACCTAAGACAAGCACGGAATAAGCACTCACTAAATGCTTGTGACGTTCTTTAGTCTTTTCTCCCTGTGTGTTTTCTAATTTATAGGCTGAGAACCCCTAAAGGGGAATGCAGTAATTAGGAGTCACTGTGCAGCTGTATTACCACAGATTTTCTGTGTATTGCGGGAGATTTTTCATTTGTGTACATAGAATTGTTTCTTAAATAAATATAGATGCTATTGTGACTGATAGAATAAAATTTGTTTTTCATAGTGGTTTTTGTCTATTACTTTCTCAGTTAGTACCGGAAGTATAATTATAATTTCATAAGAGTCCACAAGATATTTTGACCTTGAGTGAATTAGACTCAATAAGGCCAGGAATCATCACTCTGTACCAGGCCTGTTCCCCAACCTGATTTGTGACTGTTTGAGAGCAAGGTCCTGGGGCAGGTGCTGTAAACAGCTGGAAAGAAGTAGTCCCACCAGGCAGCGAGTCTATTAAACTTGCTGGGGAGGCAGGCAACCTACCTGTGTCATTTCAGGCTGTTGAGGTGGGATTTGGGAGGATGTTGGGAGAATGATCAGACACCACACAAGTCCCACATGTTCTCTCTCTCTTTTTTTTTTATCCTCACCCGAGGACATTTTTCCATTTTTTGTTCAGATAGAGTGGGAGGGAGAGAGAGAAAGAGAGAGAGGGAGGGACACATCGACGCGAAACATCGACGTGAAAGGGACACATCGAGTGGCTGCCACCCACATGACCAACCAGGGCTGGGGACAAACTGCAACTGAGGTACGTGCCCTTAGCGGGAACCAAACCCGGGTCTCTCTGGACCTCAGGCCGATGTTCTAACCGCTGAGCCAAACTGGCCAGGGCCCACATGCCCTAATTTTGTCTTTTTGTTAGCAAGGCCCTTAATTTACCCTTTGTCACACTTCAAGAGTCCCCAGAGCAAGTACTGGCATAATGGAGTCTAAACTGGCCTGGACACGCAGGGATCAGGACAGTAGTTTCTTCAGGGACGCCAGCCTTCCCACTCAGACGGGTTCCTAGACCAGTGCGGTCTGTGGGGTCAGGGAAGGGGATGCCCGCTCCCTCTTCTGAAATGCAGTTAAATCTTAAATCTTAGACATAGTGAAACTCGTATAATTTGAAAAGCAAAGTCAGTGTCACAATTTAATTTTATATTTGGATTCTTTTTTTATATTTAAAAAAAAATCAAAAAATTTTTTTATTACACAGATATCAGTAAAGAAAATACTACCAAATTGTGACTGGTAGGATTATACAGACAGTAGCAATGACTTTCAGGGTGGGGGCTACTATGCAGTAGAAGATGAAGTCAGAGGCCCTGGCCAGATAGTTTGGTTGGTTAGCGCACCATCCTTTTTTTTTTGTGGTATATGCCCCTATCGGGACCCGAACCCAGAACTGTCTGGTCCGCAGGCCGATGCTCCAACTTCTGAGCCAAACCGGCCAGGGCTAGAGCATCATCTTTATATGCTAAGGTTATGGGTTCGATCCCTGATCAGGGCACATATGAGAATCAACGAATGAATGCATAAGTAAGTGGAACAGCCCCGCCAGTGTGACTCAGTGGTAGAGCGTTGACCCATGCACCAAAAGGTCACTGGTTCGATGCCCGGTCAGGGCACATGCCCAGGTTGTGGGCCCGATCCCCAGTGGGGGCCGTGCAGGAGAACCAGTTGATGTTCTCTCTCATCGATGTTTCTATCTCTCCCTCCCTCTTCCTTCCTCTCTCTCTAAAATCAATAAAGAAAAGTGGAACAACAAATCTTTCTCAAATCAATAAATTAAAAAAATGAAGTCAAAATTTGGGGCGGTTGGGAAGGGCTGAGTCAGGTTTGCATGTTTATCTAAAGGGGAAATTGATTTTAAAATCAATTTACTAAGTTTGAGAAACACAAGCTTAGTAGGAGAGCTGTGTTTTCCGGGCGAAGAGGAACGTGCTGGAAGGGCTGGAGTTGATACCTGCCTCGGCCACACTGCACTGAAGAGGGGAGGGTCGATTTCATGTTCGCAGGGCTGGCCTGCTGTGAACTTCCGCTTCCTTGGCCGGAGATGGTGTGGCTAAGCTGTATACAAGAGTCACCTGTATTTCTAGAAAATCAGGAAGTCTGAGCAACTGGAAGCCATGTTCCCTCTCACCTGCTTCAGGTTACACGAGACCCCTGGACAGGAGATGGCTGTGTGATGTCCAGGCCCGCAGCGGGGTGCAGCACGTTCTGGGGGCCGGGGACTGTTTGTCATGCGCAGCATCTCCTTGTGGTGGATGCGGTCATTCCCTAGCTGCATGCTTCCCTCTGTGTGCCAGTTCACAAAATGCCTGCCCTTGCGTGCTTGCTAATAACCCGGGTAATAAATATTTCATGTTTGACAAGTGCCCATTTGACTCTGAGATGGAGCGGGGCTCTGCGGACCCACAGAGTTCTGGGCAGGCGCTCCAGCCCTGCCCCGGGAACACCCGTGGGGTTTAACAGAACAGTTGTTCAGTATAAAGTGCTTCCCCGACAGAGAAAATCGCTCTGATTGATTCTTGCCCAGTGCCCCTCCCTTCACTCTCTCCCTCTCAGAATGTTAATTGGACTCTGGGATTTTTCCAGATTGCATTTAGAAGGAATAATGGGTTATGATTACAACTTCTTAACAAGGTCGAGTCACCAAATAGTTATTGAGTGCACCCAAGGTGCCCAGCATAAAAGGATATTTAGAAACTGTCTGATGCCGTCTTTGGCCTAAAACAAAATGAAAAACCCCCACTATAATCTGTGTCTCTGCTTCATGGTAACAATAGTCTGTGAGTGCTTACCCCGTGCCAGGCACTGTGGGTGCTTTGCTTACGTATCTAATTTCATCCTGGTACAGATGTGGGGAGTACTCCCATTGGCCCCATTTTGCCAGAGGAGAAACCTTTTTTTTAAGACATTTTTATAAGAATTTATTTGAGCCAAACTAAGGACATATGCTGGGGAGCAAGAACTCACATGCTGCCTGAGAGGGGCTTTGCTGGAGCTCACCCGCTAGCATGGCAGGTGGTGGAACCTGGGTTCAGCTCCCTCCTGGCTTGACCTCGAGATTTCGCTGCCCCCACAGTACTGAGCAGCCTCTCGGACCACTACATCTTAGAAGCAGCAGTGCAGAATTTGGTACCCAGAATAGCCATGTTCTTTTATTATTATTATTTTTTTAATCCTCACCTGAGGATATTTTTACATTTATCTTCAGACAGAGTGGAAGGGGGGAGAGAGAAACATTGATACGAGAGAGGCACATCGACTGGTTGCCTCCCACACGACCCCAACTGGGGCTGTGGACGAACTGCCACCGAGGTACGTGCCCTTGGCCGGAATCGAGCCCAGGACCCTTTCCATGTTTTTAGTTTTTCGGTGCTCGAGCAGTGCCATGCATGCCTGACACTGTGCTGCTCGGCACAGTGAAAAGAACCCTTAAATGCCATTTTATTGTTACTAGGG